TCTCTCCAACCCTGTCATCCCAAGGTTTTCCAAACACCCATCAGGGGTGTCACAACAAGGAACTGTCCCGCAGAGTAAGCCCAGTTTGTCCCCAAAATGTCCCCTTCTCCCATCCTGCGCTCCCAGCACGTGGGAATTCGCTCAGCGCTCGGATCAAGGCTCCAAACCGAGCAGGGAATTCCTTTACGTGCAGCAAACCTGGGCTCCTCCTCCTGCAGCCGCGGCACCACAGCCGGGCGCTTCTCCACGGCAAATCCCTGGAAAGCTCCTTGGAAAGCTCCTTGGAAAGGCGGATTTCCTCCGGAGGGAGCGGNGCTAAACTCAGGATTCCCGTTCCTCCCTGGCCAGCAGGGAAGGCTGAATCCAGCTCTGGAGCTCAGCCAGGGCTGAAAAATCCTCTGGTGCTGCCCATCCTGGGTTTGTTGCCCCAATCACAACCCAGGGATAACAGCAGCACCAGCAAGAGATGAGCTGACCTTAACCACAAGGTTTGTAAAAGAGTTGGGCTCCATTTCTGAGATGTTTGAATGAACCACTCTGGTTCCCTCCTGCTGAAAACTCCCAAAGCTCTGCTGCCTCCTGACTGAAAGGGAAACACCCTCAGAGAGCAGGGTGCAGGTGAAGGAGAGGCTGAGGGCGCACAAAGCTCCAGATGCGCACAGAGACACTTTGGAAACCCCAAATTTCTTTCATGGAAACTCCAAACTGCCACAAAATCCATTGGATTCCACAGAATCCCCCAATCCCTGGGGCTGGCACAGCCCTGCCAGCCCATGCAGTGCCAGCTGTGCCCACCTTGTGCCCAGCCCAGAGCACTCAGTGCCACCTCCAGGGCACACCTGCAGGGATGGGCACTGCAAAGCTCCCTGGGCAGCCCCTGCCAAGGCCTGAGCTCCCTTTCCATGGGCAAATTGCTGCTGCTGCCCAAGCTGAGAGCAGTTTTGGATCAGAAATTGGGAGGAATCCTGCCTGTGAGGGTGGGCAGGCCCTGGCCCAGAGCAGCTGGGGCTGCCCCTGGATCCCTGGAATGTTCAGTTCCAGGCTGGACACTGGGGACAGCGGGGGTGTCCCTGCCATGGCTGGGGTGGCACTGGGTGATCATTAATGTCCCTTCCAGCTCAGCCATTCCATAACTCTGTGATTACCCCACCATGCCATTCCTAATGCCATGACTAAGTGATTTACTAATTTTAGGCCTCCTTTGTTTGTTCCACACAAGGAAATGGAAAAAGTGAATTCCTGTTGATCAACCCCTCTGGCAGATATAGCACATCATTCCTTTTGTTTGGAAAGTTTTGTTTCCAAACACCATCCATTAATCAAGGCCCAGTAATGCAGCACTTTGTCCATCCAAATATTTTCCAGCAGATCTCACCAAGGGGATGTTTTTTATCCTGGTGGTGTGAGCAGCTCCACTCCCATCAAAAAGCTCAGCCTGGCATCACCTTTTAACCCAAATTGAAACAAATAAATGGGATTCTTGTCCATTTAGGAGCTTTTACCACCTGTGAGCATCACAGGAGTGCTCTGGGCAGTGGGGAGCACTGGGAATGACGAGGGCTGGGAGAACACTGGAATCCTTTGCCTCGATGCTGGTGTTTGATTGGAATTCTCCTCCACCCAAGCAAAGCTGAGCTTTAACATGCTCAGTGCTTCCCATCCTTCACTAAATGTAATAAAGCTTCTGATGGAAAATTAATTAAACACGTTGACAGCTGAGATTTAATTGTGGGGGATGAGGGAACCTCTTGGGAAGAGTCAAAGAGAGGTGTCCCTCAAAGTAGAGCTTTCCAGGGCAAAGCAGTGGCTGGAAAACAAAGCCTTTGTTTGCTCTGCTGCACTTGAAGTTCAAAATTCACCCCTTTTTTTCCCACACAACAGAAAAACGTTCCATGGGATTTTTGAATCTCACCCAAAACTCCACGTTTGGTGTGAGAGGGACCTGGAATCCCATCCCATTGCAGCCCTTCCACTCTGCCAGGTTGTTCCAATCCCTGTCCAAGCCGGGCTTGCAGGGACACAGAACTGCCCAAAACACCAAAACCAAACCTGAAATAACCCAGGGATCAACACTTCACTTTCATTAAAGCTGCAGCATCCAAGTTCTCCAGCGGGTTTGGATCATGGAATGGGCTGGGTTTGGGGTTGGTTTTTTTTAAGAACTGAGTTTAAGAACTTTTACAAACAAATTATCTGCAAATGTGGCTTTTACAGGGCCAAAGCATCATCAGGGTTGGAGGAGACCTTTGTCACAGACATCTTTTATGGGAAATCCTTTCCTTAGGATTTTTCCTCCTGAGAAGCTGAGAGGCCTCAGGAACAAAATGTAAACATTGATTATCTGCTGCTGTGTAATGCAACAGGTGCATCTGGGATTGGTCTCATGTGGTTGTTTCTAATTAATAGCCAATCACAGCCAGCTGGCTCGGACAGAGAGCCGAGACGCAAACCTTTGTTATCATTCTTTGCTATTCTGTTCTTAGCCAGCCTTCTGATGAAATCCTTTCTTCTATTATTTTAGTATGGTTTTAATGTAATATATATCATAAAATAATAAATCAGCCTTCTGAAGCATGGAGTCAGATCCTCGTCTCTCCCCTCATCCTCAGACCCCTGTGAACACCAGCACAGACCTTCAAAATGCCCCAGCAGCACCAGCACCACCCCAGGGCCACATCCTGAACGCTCCCAGAGACTCCAGCACCTCCCTGGGCAGCCCATCCCAAGGCCTGACCACCCTTCCAGGGACAAATATCCTGTAATTTCCAATCTGCACCTCTGTGGGCTCCCAGCTCCACCTGAGAGCACAGACCCAGCTGTGGTGCCCGGGCCAGGCCTTCAGCAGCCACCCCTGGCCAGGTGTGCCCAGCCAGGGCTGCTTTTCCTTTCAAGGTGTGCCAGCATTTCCCTCCATGCCCCAAACAGCCACTGGCCAGCAAAGCAAATGCGCTCAGGGCAGAGTCAGTGCAAATAATTGGGGAGTTTTCTCCACTTCAAAAGGAGGAGGAGGAGGATTGCTTCCTCCCCAGCCCCACCCACAGCAAACCCAGCACAAAAGGCTTCTGTTCTGTCTCCCAGAGAAAAATCCCCTGGCATTTCACTTTGATTGATGATACACAATAAACTGAGGCAGGAACCCAGTGCATGTGTTGGGTTGGAACCCAGGGACTCCAAACACGGATCCTGCCCCATTCCTGGGGCTGCTCATNGGGCTGGAGAGGGACTTTTTACAAGGAGATGGAGTGACAGGAGAAGGGATTTGATATTAGGGGGAAATTGTTCCCTGGCAGGGTGGGCAGGGCTGGGATGGAATTCCAGGGATCCATCCCTGCATCCCTGGCAGTGCCAAGGCCGGGCTGGACACTGGGGACAGTGGGAGGTGTCCCTGCCATGGCAGGGCTGGCACTGGCTGGGATTTAATGTCCCTTCCCAACCCAAACCATTCCAGGATTCTGTGCCCACATGGATGGACCAGACACAGCCCCAAATCCCTCCCAGCCCATTCCCCAGCCCTGAACCTCAACCAGGCCCTTCCTGCTCTGCTCCTGCCCTTCCCCTGCACTCTCAGGTGCACATTTACCCACACAGCGATTTTCCCTCTCACCCCCCATATCTTCCTTACTTCAGGCGTTTCTTTTCCTCCTGGGCAAACAAGTCATCCCAGTTTTTTTGAGTTCCCTCCCACTCAGAACAATGGGCCAGGCACGGAGTGAAACCATCCCTCCTTCAGCCAGGCTGCCACACACACATTCCTCCTGCTCCCAGGGAGCGACTGGCGCTAAACTCAGGATTCCCACACTGGTGCTAAACTCAGGATTCCCAGACTGGCGCTAAACTCAGGATTCCCAGACTGTGCTAAACTCAGGATTCCCACACTGGTGCTAAACTCAGGATTCCCACACTGGTTCTAAACTCAGGATTCCCAGACTGGCGCTAAACTCAGGATTCCCAGACTGGCGCTAAACTCAGGATTCCCAGACTGGCGCTAAACTCAGGATTCTCACACTGGTGCTAAACTCAGGATTCCCAGAGTGGTGCTAAACTCAGGATTCCCAGACTGTGCTAAACTCAGGATTCCCAGACTGGTGCTAAACTCAGGATTCCCAGACTGTGCTAAACTCAGGATTCCCAGACTGGTGCTAAACTCAGGATTCCCACACTGGCGCTAAACTCAGGATTCCCGTTCCTCCCTGGCCAGCAGGGAAGGCTGAATCCAGCTCTGGAGCTCAGCCAGGGCTGAAAAATCCTCTGGTGCTGCCCATCCTGGGTTTGTTGCCCCAATCACAACCCAGGGATAACAGCAGCACCAGCAAGAGATGAGCTGACCTTAACCACAAGGTTTGTAAAAGAGTTGGGCTCCATTTCTGAGATGTTTGAATGAACCACTCTGGTTCCCTCCTGCTGAAAACTCCCAAAGCTCTGCTGCCTCCTGACTGAAAGGGAAACACCCTCAGAGAGCAGGGTGCAGGTGAAGGAGAGGCTGAGGGCGCACAAAGCTCCAGATGCGCACAGAGACACTTTGGAAACCCCAAATTTCTTTCATGGAAACTCCAAACTGCCACAAAATCCATTGGATTCCACAGAATCCCCCAATCCCTGGGGCTGGCACAGCCCTGCCAGCCCATGCAGTGCCAGCTGTGCCCACCTTGTGCCCAGCCCAGAGCACTCAGTGCCACCTCCAGGGCACACCTGCAGGGATGGGCACTGCAAAGCTCCCTGGGCAGCCCCTGCCAAGGCCTGAGCTCCCTTTCCATGGGCAAATTGCTGCTGCTGCCCAAGCTGAGAGCAGTTTTGGATCAGAAATTGGGAGGAATCCTGCCTGTGAGGGTGGGCAGGCCCTGGCCCAGAGCAGCTGGGGCTGCCCCTGGATCCCTGGAATGTTCAGTTCCAGGCTGGACACTGGGGACAGCGGGGGTGTCCCTGCCATGGCTGGGGTGGCACTGGGTGATCATTAATGTCCCTTCCAGCTCAGCCATTCCATAACTCTGTGATTACCCCACCATGCCATTCCTAATGCCATGACTAANGTGGTGGCTGTGGCAGCGTGCAGCTCGTACTTGTCCCCTGAGGGAGGAGGGAAAAATGGGAATGAAAATGGGAATTCCTGAGAAAAGGGAACCTCGTGGGGGTTTAATGGGGTTTTTAGGTGGAGTATTCCTGAGGAAATGGGACATGGTGAATTTCAATGGGGTTTTTAGTGAGGAATTCCTGAGGAAAGGGAACGTGGGGGCTCTTCCATGTGGGGAATTCCTGAGGAAAGGGAACCTGGTGGGGGTTTAATGGGGTTTTTAGGTGGAGTATTCCTGAAGAAAGGGCACCTGGGGGCTTTTTCATGGAGGTTTTTGGTGGGGACTTTCTAAGGAAATGGGACATGGTGACTTTTCCATGGGGGATTTAGGTGGGGAACTCCTAAGGAAAGGACACCTGGGGGCTTTTCCATGGGGGATTTGGATGGGGAATTCCTTAGGAAAAGGGACACGGTGACTTTTTAATGGGGTTTTTAGGTGGGGTATTCCTTAGGAAATGTCACCTGGGGGCTTTTCCATGTGGGGCATTCCTGAGGAAAGGGCACCTGGGGGCTTTTCCAGGAGGTTTTTGGTGGGGAATTTCTGAGGAAATGGGACATGGTGACTTTTCCATGGGGGATTTAGATGGGGAACTCCTGAGGAAAGGGCACCTGGGGGGGTTTTAATGGAGTTTTTAGGTGGGGAATTCCTTAGGAAACAGGACATGGTGATTTTTTAAAGG